GAAGTAGAGTAGTGCCCGGTTTAGTTCTTCGAGATCTTCTTGTTCCAGCTGCTTCAGATGCGTCGCCAGCTGGCTTGCGCTGTAGGATAGGTCAGGTCGACAGGTTACTGCTGCGAATAGTAGGCAGCCGAGCTTCTGCTGATACTCCCGGATTTGCTTCGCGGGGAGTTTTTCGGAGGTGTCGTTGTTGTTCCCGTAGCGGTAGGGAGTCGCGACTGTAGTTGGTGTTAGTCCGAACTTCTTTGCGACAACGCCTGCGTACTTCCCAGCGTATGGGTAGAACGCCGAGTTGTCTTCGACGACATTCAGACCCAGGTACTGGGTCACTGTGTCGGACACCGTGAGTGTCAAGCCCCCTTTCAGCTCCCCTTCGAACCAGGTGGCGATGTCGGTAGTGGAACCGATGTAGAGCAGGTCGTCGACGTAAAAGATGAGTAGAATATATTCTCTTCCCTTCTGCAGTCGGTACATGCCTTGGTCATGCGGTAGCTGTAGGAGTCCGATTCTGACAAGGCGACCGTGAAGATGCTGCTGCCAGAGCCGCGGGGCTTGCTTGATCCCGTAAAGGGATTTTATCAGCTGGCATACTTTTGTGGGGTCGTCGATGAATCCGTGGGGCTGCTCGACAAAGATTTCGGCGTCCACAGGTGCGTACAGGAAGGCATGTGCGACGTCGATCTGGCGCAGTGGTAGCTTCTTTGTGGCCGCAACGACGAGTAAGATGCGCAAGGAGGTGTGACGAGAGACTGGGGCGAATGTTTCTCTGTAGTCGGTTCCGTATCGTTGATCAAATCCTCGTACGACCCAGCGAGCTTTGAATCGTTCGATGGAGCCGTCCGCATTGGTCTTGATGCGGTACACCCACTTTCCCGAGAGAACGTTCTTCCCGTTGACGTTCGTTGCAGGTACCAGCTTCCATGTGTTTCGGTCTTGCAGAGCTTTCAGTTCCTTTTCCATTGCCTCCTTCCATTTCGCCTTATGTTCCCCCCCCAGAGCCTGCGACAGAGTCGTTGGCTCGCGCGGAGACGGCGGCGGCGGGTGCTAGATGGAGACCCATAAGCCGAGGATTTGCAGTCCCGTGGGTGTGTGTCGAGGGGAATTTTCATTCCCGGAATAGGCTGCTTTGTCACCATCTTCTGGATAAGGTAAGAAGTTGGGGCCGATGCGTTCTGAGATATGCGTGTCGACCGGGTGAGGTGTAGCGTAACCTCGGTCAGCGAAGTGGTAGAGGGTGTCGAGGTTGTTGCTATCGAGAGGATTGTCTTCGTCAAGTGGAACAGGTACGGAACAGAAAGGGAGTGGTCCGGCAGCTTCCGAGGCTCCAGGTACGTCTTCTTCTGCTGCGTCAGCCTCCGCAGCACGGTCGGCGAAGGAACGAAGGCCCGCGAGGCCGTCGGTGGGGTCGTGTATGTTGGCAATGTTGTCCAGGTAATGCTGCAGCGTCAGTCGCTCGTAGAAGATAACATCACGTGATGCCACCGTATTTTTGTCTTGTATGTCGAGGATTTTCCATGCGTGAAAATGTTTGGCGATGCCGATGTGTAATCCCCACCGTGCTCGTTGAGTGAAGCGTCCTGCTCAGGCTATGTGGGGTCTGTACTGTATCATGCAGCCGAAAACTCGAAGTAATTTCGTGCTGCCCCTTTTTCGTGTCCACAGCAGGTGCGGTGATGCGTTGTTGGGAAGCGATGACGATGACAACAGATTGTGCAGGTGGACCGCATGTGTCATCGCGTCTGGCCATAGTGTGTTGGGCAGTCTCATCCCCAGGAGCAGCTTTCGCATTGTCGTCTGCAAGGTCCGGTTCATTCGTGCTGCGACCCCCTACTGCTGGTGAGCGTAGGGCAGGGACACCAAGCGTCTGATTCCTCTTTCCGCCAAGTAGGTCCTGAAGCGTTGTGACTGGTATTCCAGTGCGCCGTCTAAGTGGAAGCTTTTGAGCTTCGTTCCTGATTCTCGTTCAGCGATGGGACCACGTCTTGAAGGCTTCGAAGGCTTGGTCTCTCGTCTTGAGGTTGTAGTGCCAAACATATCTTGTTGCTGCATCGATGAACGTTATGACGTAGTTGAAGTCGGCTTCAGTGTCGTCTCCAGGCATGTTTAAGATGTCGCTGTAAACCTTTTCCATCGGTGCGTATGCAGGTGCGCTTGGATTGTGATGTGACGGAAAAGGTTGGTGTTGAAGATCTACTTCGGGGCATGTGAAGCACCGTGCGCGAGGTCGTCGAAGTTCCTGTCCGCTTGTTGTAAGGAGAGCGTTTCGTTCTAACACTTCGGCTTGGATGGTTTGTAGTACTGTGCTATTTGCAGGATGCCCAAGGCGTTGATGCCAGATGTCGTCGGGAGCTCGATGGCCGGGCGATCGGCGATACATGTCGGTGTTGGAGAAGAACGCGACGACGGTGGCGGGACTTCGGCAGACTTCGCGTGTGGTGGGCATGAGTTGATCTGCTTCGGTTGGCGGTCCTCGGATTGCTGGTGGTGATACTATGCTGGGTCCTGCTGCTGTGATTTCAGGTGATGTCGATGAAGAGACGCTTGCCGGTACTTGTCTTTCTTGTCGAATGACTGCTAACGCCCGTGTTCTCTCTGCTGCAGGTATGGTGTTGGAGTACCAGTATCCATCTTGGTTGAAGTCGGGGTCAAGGTCCGGTGGGTGTGTCCAGGCGGCGAATGACACGATGCCATCGCTATCGGCGATACCGCGGTCGGGGACGAAGTCCAACACGAAGACGCCGGACTTCAGGACAGCTCGACCGATGAAGAGACCGCCCTTTCCGTGGTAAAGACGAAATTCGTTGGAGTCTGAGTCGCGCTCCAGGTGAATCCATTTTGCCATTAGCTGGCTGACGCTGAGCAGGTTGTGTCCCAGATTGTCGACGATGAGAACTTTGTTGAGTTGTAGTATAACGTTTGTTTCCATGGACTGTAACTGAACCACTCCTTGTCGGTTTGTTTTCAAGTTCTCGTTGTTGGCGACGGTGATGATGACATCGCGGTTGAGGCGTCGCTCTCGCTGCACGAAGCGCCCGGAGGAGCACATGTGTTGACCGCAGCAGCTATCCAAGAACCAAGTGTTGCGTCCGGTGGGTTCGGAGTTGGTGACTGCAGCGTACGTTGGGTTGACCTGAAGTCCCTGTGAGCGCGGTGGCGACAGTTCTTCTTCATCGGGAGCGTAAGTTGGCGGTGATCCGGGTGCGCAGTTGTCGATGTGTATCATGCAGTTGATGATGTTCGGTGTACTTTGCGCACATGTGGAGGAGCGCCTCGGCGGGCTTTCTTGAGTGGAAGCGACTTGTGGGTCTACTGGACGATAAGCTCGGGGACGTGTGCAGTTGACTTTGGAGTGTCCGGATGTTTGGCAGTTGTGGCAGAACAGCGGCACAATGGTGAGTCCTCTGTTGTCGCGTTGATCTTGTTTGCCGCGTCGGTTGTAGTTGTTGTCGTTCCTTCGTTGAGTGTAGAAGACTAATGGTTGCTGTTGCCTTGGTTGCCTTTCTTCGAACAGGTCCATCTCCTGTTGTTCAGCATGGAGCTCGGCGCAGAGGTGCATCTCCGAGATTCGTCCGTGGGCGCGAAGGAGCGAGCGGGTGGTTCTCCATTCTGGCCCGAGTCCGGCGAGGACAAGCGTCACGAAGCTTTCTTCAGTGATTGTTCCTCCGCACCGAAGCAGGCGGTCGCGGAGTATCTGGCATCGACTCATATACTGCATCGCTTTTTCCCCGGTCTTCATCTGGATTGTTGTCAACTGCTGCATGAGTCTGCTTTGTGTCACGCTGTCATTTGCTTGATAGAGGCACTTGAGGTGATGCCATGCGAGTTCCGCGGAGTTTTCGTAGCTCCTATACGTTCTGATGCTTTGCTGTTCTTGTGGTGACAGTTTCCGTAGGAGAACTGTGTACGCCAGCAGCGACTGATGCGTGAAGATTTCGTGTTCTTTTGCAGTGCCGTTGCTTGGGAATGGCAGGGACCCGTTGAAGTATCCCAAGAGATGCGCAGCCTCCATCAGCAGCTCGAACTCAAAGCTCCAGGTAAAAAAGTCGTGTCCGTTGAACGGTGAGGATGTCTGCAGTTTGATGACGTGTGAAAAGTGCGCCTGGAGACTAAGTATCTCGCTTGGTGTCTGTTGTGATGCAGCTGCTGTTGGTTGGGCACGGGGCGGCATGAACTCGAACGTCCCCGGTGAAGAGTGATAAGGCGCGAAGGTAGGCGCTTGATTGTGTCGCCCGAACGATGAGTTGTCGAGGCTCATCGGCGCTAATCCCATGTTTCCTCCGTTGCTCTGTGTTGAATGTGCAGGCGTCCTTGTCTGCTGCTGTTGGTCGAAGTGCGACATGAAGCTGAAGAACCCTTCCATAAGGTTCGGGTTCACGCTTGAAGAGGGTGATGGGGTCACCATTTCTGGTGCTCTTCCTGTTGTTTCTTGAGCAGCTCCGGTCTCGGTTTGCAGTCCTGAAGTATGTAGTCCAGAGTTGCCGGGTTGAGTATCTTGGGCACTGGGTGAGCCCGTAGAGGTTTTCTTGCCTTTGCTGTCCATGACTTGTTATCAATGAAGTCGTTGGTGTGCTGATTGTAGATAGAGCGAAGTCGCTTGGGAGTTTGGTCTCTGACCAGCTCTGATACCATGTTGGGCTGAGAAAAGCCCTTAGGATCTTTCCAGAGACGAAGTCGCAGTTGTAAAAGACTTGAGTAGTGCAACGGAAGTTGAGGTAGTTGAACCCTTGTACTAGTATATGAGAACAAGTGATTGATTAATGGAACAAGCATACAGCACTATATAGAAAGTAGGAAAGTAAAGCAGTTGTAAAATACAGTTGAAAAAAGGCGGTTTATCGAGTCGCACAGCGACTCGATTGTCGCTTCGGTTACCATCTTTGCAGCTGTAACGGTCAGTCGCAACCTCCAGTTGCGACCCTTCGAGTCCTTTCGTGTTGTTTGTCCACCCCCTCGTGTAACCTCCGTTGACTCGCGTACCCGTTACGATCTTCCTCGAGTGTGGTGTTACACTTCAGAAACGCTTAAGTCCTTGAGGTATTTCCAACACACAATATGATTGTTCTAAGAAAACTGTCACCTTTTGTTGAAATGAACCACGTGTTTAGGGCGGCCAGACTCTGTCGAGTATATTTCAACACCTAATTCCCGTCATCGTACTGAAGGTGCACTCCTATCCACCATCCCAACAAGCAGCCAAGGTACCCAACCCAAAGCCACTCCTCGGCCCATCAAGAACCCTAATGGAGCTGGAATTCACGAGCGTCGACCACGCCTCATGATCTCAAAGCTAGCAAAAAAAATCATTCGTGATCAGCTGCAGACCCATACAGGTGCTCGTAATTCCCAGCTTCCCTCCAATTTTACCAGCGAGGCAGTGGCAGTGGCCGACTGGCAGTGGCATCCCCCCCCATCAAGTCATCTCTATGTCGCTCTTGAGATTAGACGAGGGCAGAAGCGACTCATCTCCCCCTTCTGCATCACCCCTGCCATCACCATCAGCACCGCCGTCACCACCAGTGGCATCACGACCACCACCACCAGCACCCGCTCCCGGCCCCCCAGCAATCTCAAAAGTCGGCACTTCGTACCCACGGTCACGGTAGAACGAAATAACACACTTAATCAGCTCAATCCAAATCGTCCCGGCCGCGGCGATCCCAACCACGACCAGCCAGTCCAGCGGGGGGATCTGCTGGAAATGCAGCGCCTGGCGGAACCACGACGAGAATGACAGCAGCACGCAGAGAGTGGCGGTAACCAGCAGCCCGAGAAGCACGGCCGGGTTGGAGAACAGCCCCTTATGGAAGAGTGATTCGGACGTGGTGCGCAGGTGGAAGGAGACGAAGCAGGAGGAGACAAGCCAGCCGATAAACGCCACGGTGTGCGTGTCGCTGTTGTTGTGCGGATTGGTTCGGATGGAGTAGGCGAGCGAGAGCAGTGTGGCCACGGCCGTGGCGATGGCTGCGGCGGCGACCGTGGCGAGGAGAGGGAGGTCGAAGAAGGGCCGCGTGGGCCGGCGCGGCGCGTGCAGCATGACGTCGGAGTCGGGGGGCTCGGAGGTGTAGAGGAAGAGAGAGGCGCCGCGGAGCAGCACTGCAGAGACGATCAGCTGACAGGGCAGCATGGGGTAGCTGGGATGGGAAGGGGGGGGAGGGGGGACAGGGGGGAGTAAACAAATGGGTGGGGGGTGGTAACAGAAGGGGGAAAAAGGGGAGGAGTAAGGGCCGGAATGGGGGTGAGAGGCGGAGGCATGGAGGGAAGGAATCTGTTTTTGAGGCGCCTAAAAAATGGGGATGAGAGGCGGAGGCATGGAGGGAAGGAATGTGTGAAGGAGGGAGGACTGAAGGGGTGCAGGATTTAGGAAGCGAGGAGTTGTAGGGGGTCCGGTGCTGAGGGTATGAGAGCGTTGGAGAATGGGGAAGGAGTGGGAGGAAGGAGTGGGAGGAAGGAGTGGGAGGAAGGAGTGGGAGGAAGGAGTGGGAGGAAGGAGTGGGAGGAAGGAGTGGGAGAAAGGAGTGGGAGGAAGGAGTGGGGAGATGACCTGGCCGGAGAAGGTTGAGAGACGCGTGGAGGAAAGACATGAAGAGGAAAGACTTGAAGAGGAAAGACTTGAAGAGGAAAGACTTGAAGAGGAAAGGGTGGGCGGCATCCTATGAACCATAGCAAGTGGCAAACCATGGCATGCTGCATGCAGCAAGGGCCGGAATGGCTTCTTGTGCATTGAACTGCAGCACCAGCAGTGCGACCAACTACCCTATATGCACATCCTGCATGCATGCACCATTCCATGAGCCATAGCGTGCCCACGAGCACAACGAGTCACAGTGTGCCCATGAGACCCACGACCAGCACAAGCCCAGGGTCTTCTGAAGCACGTCTCACACTGTCCCACGGCACGTCCCAGTCAAGCGCGTCACACTGTCCCTCACCTGCCTGACAACGCGCCCCCGAGCTCCTCGACTGCGAATCCCAGCTTCTTTAAACACCTCTCAACCTCGAAGCATCCCTCAGCCCCCCCCTCCCCACCCACACACACCCCCTCCTCTCCCCTTCCGCCTCACAGCGTGCCCAGCAGCGTGCCCAGCAGCAGCGAGGCCAGTGCGAGCCCCAGCATCTTCTGATGAGCCGCAAAGCATCGCTCGTCAGCCCTCCCCACGTCCTCTGCTCAGCTGAACCACAGATGTGGCCCCACCACCACAACCACCACCAGCGCAAACCCCCAGCTTCATTACAGTCGTCTCTCAATCACACAACCCCCACACCATCATCCATCCAATGTCACCCCTCCCGGCCTCCCCTCCTCACCTGAGCCTGGGCGCGCCCACGAGCACGACCAGCGCCAGCCCCAGCTTCATTACAGTCAGCTCAACCATGGAATCTCCACACCTAGTCACCGCCCCTCCCCCCTTCCCCCCCCCTTCCCTCACCTGAGCCACAGTGTGCCCACGAGCACGACCAGCGCCAGCCCCAGCTTGCACCCCAGCTCCAGCGCCAGCGCCTTGCGCACGTTGGCCAGTGCCGCTCGGGCCTCCTCCAGCAGGAAGCGCACAGCGCCGAACGACGGGTCTAGCAGCACCACGGACGCTGCGTCCCGCACGGCGGCGGGGGCCGGACCAACAGCAATGCCCACGTCCGCTGCAGCTAGGACCGAGGCGTCAGTGAGGCCTGTGGTCGGGGGGATAAGTTGGGAAGGAAGGGTTTTGAGGCGGGCAGGAAGGTGCAACTTCCAGCATCAGGCCGCCTCACGTGTGCTGCTCCTTGTGCCATGCGCCTCACAGCGCGGGCCTCCTCCAGCACGAAGCTCACGGCGCCAGAGGACGGGTCTAGCAGCACCACGGACGCTGCATCTCGTACAGCTGCAGGGGCTGGGCCGACTGCAATGCCCACATCTGCTGCGGCAAGCACCGACGCATCCGTAGGCCTGGGAGGGAGAGGTGGAGGGAAGGGGGGGGGGGGGAGGGGGGAAGGGGGATAAGGGAAAGGACTTTCGAGGCTGGTCGAAAGGCGTCCTGCCCTGTATTGTGGGATGGGCTCATTTCTATGCCCACGTCTGTTGCTGCTAGCATTGATGCATCGGTGAGGCATGGGAGGGAGAGGAGGGGGGTAGGGAGGAGAGGTCGAGGGAGAAGAGGTGGTGGGTGGGAGGAGGGGTATAGATTGATATGAAGGCCACATGATGTGCGGATAACTCCTTGGGATGAGAAAGAGAGAACAGTAGAAAGTGACCAGTCATCCATGCACAAGTTGGTTTTTGAGAATTCTCAAAGAACAGTAGAAAGTGATTAGACATGCACGCACGCACGCACACAAGTACTGTAAAAGCTCCAGGATGCAGAGCTCGTCTGTGGACGACGCTCAATCACGTAAGCAAGCACAATTGCACAGACAGACGACTTTTCCCAGTCTTCCTCCAACCTACTTGCCCCCCCCCCCCCCTACCCAACCCTTCCCCACCTTCCCCCCCCCCTCTACCTGCTCCACATCCCACGTCCGCCCCTCAACCCTCGTCTCTCTCACCACTCCTCCCTCTTCCCCAGGTCCCCCTCTGACCTCCCCCTTGTCTCCCCCTGTCCCATCCTTACCCCTCCCCCCCTAACCCTTCTCACTTGACCCGCATGCAGCCACGAGCTGGCCGTTCATCTGCAGCGCCTCCAGGATGCACAGCTTGTCCGTGGGGGACGCCCTGGCCAGCACGCTGGTGCCCGCCACCAGCGCGCGCAGCTCCTCGCCCGTGGATTGCGCTGGGGGGTGCTCCGCGCACGACACCGCGTCCTGCTGCACCTCCTGCTGCGCCACCTGCAGGGGGAGGGGGAGGGGCAGGGGGAGGGGAGGGGGACCGGGGGTAGAACGGGGGAGGAATGGTGAAGGATAGAGGTCTGTGTTCGTTGAAAGGAATGCCTTCTTGCACCTCCTGCTGCACCACGTACAAGGGGGAGGGGCAGGGGCAGGGGCAGGGGCAGGGGGAGGGGGAGGGGGAGGAGACAAGGGAGGGATGTTGAAAGTAAGAGGTTTGTACCGGGCATGTGCCATGTTGGACGGGAGGGAGGGACGGGACGGAGAAGGATGCATAGGGCTGCATGGATTTGGAGGGATAGAGGGATTGAATCTATGGCGCCCTGGCCTGGCCAGCATGCTCATGCCCGCCACCAGCACGCTCATATCGTTTCCTGTTCCGAGGAGCCTATTTTTGAGGCGCCTAAAAAATAGACTCCTCGTGCCACCAACGCGTTCAGATCGTTGCCCGTTCCGTTGACTGCGCTGGGGGCAGCTCCGCACACGATGCCGCGTCCTGCTGCACCTTCTGCTGCTGCGTCTGGGGTGGGGGGGGGGGGGGGGAGGACCGGGGGTGGAACAGGGGAGGATGGTGAAGGATAGAGGCGAGCATTGGGGTGTGTCCGTTGGAAGGGAGGAACGGGGAGGACAAGGGCGGGTGACTTTTGAGTCGTCTCAAAAGTCAGAACGGGGAGGACAAGGGGGGGTGTCGTGGTATCTACCAGGGATTGGGAGGGATTGAGAGGGATTGAGAGGGATTGGGAGGGTAACAAATAGCAGCAGCTCTTGCGATAGCAACAGCCATCCCAAGATGATTCCCCATGAAAAGCACCAGGCGCACTCCAGAGAGCTGGCAACATCAAGCAGCAGCAAACAACAAACAGCACCTGCTGTTTGCTATCTAAATCAACCCAACAACAAGACCTCACCTGGTGCGGGTAGCAAATAGCAGCAGCACTTGCGACAGCCACCGCCGTACCCAGATGGTCCCCTGTGACCAGCAGCGGGCGCACTCCAGCGAGCCGGCAGCAGTGCGTGGCAGCACAGCAGTCGTGCCTTTGAGTCAAACCATCAATCCCTTACCTGGTGTGGGTAACAGATAGCAGCAGCTCTTGCGACAGCCACCGCCGTCCCCAGATGGTCCCCTGTGACCAGCACCGGCCGCACTCCAGCGAGCCGGCAGCAGCGGGCGGCATCGGCGGCGTCGACACGCGTGGGATCCGAGAGAGCGACGAGGCCGAGGAAGGTGCAGTCCGCAATGGAGGAGAGCAGGGCCGTGCGCGAGGTGGAGTGGCGGGGGCTGTCCCCGGCCGTGCTGCCAGACGCATAGCCCACTAGTGTGTAGCCTGAAAGAGGGGAAGGGAAGGGGGAGGGGGGGGGGGATGAGGGGAGGTGAGGGGAGGGCGACAAGGCCGAGGAAGGTGCAGTCGTTAATGGAGGAGAGCAGGGCCGTGCGCGAGGCGGCGTGGCAGGGGCTGTCTCCGGCCGTGCTGCCAGACGCATAGCCTACCAACGTGTAGCCTGGATGGGGCGATTGGGGGAGGGTGGATAAGGGGGTAGGAGCAGAAGGAGCGGGGGACACGGGAGGGAGAAACGAGCCAAGAGGAGGATGCGGCATTCTGCCTGGTTTGCTGTGTGCAGCATCAACGAGAGTGGGATCAGAGAGAACGACGAGGCCGAGGAAGGTGCAGTCGAGGAGATGGGGTGAGGAGATGGGGTGAGGAGAGGAGCACTGAGCGCCGAGTGCGAGGAGGAGTGGCGGAAGCTGTCCCCTGCTACGGCGCCTACCAGACGCAATAGCATGTAGCCTCGGGAGGGGTTGGGGGGGGGGAGAGGAGAGGGCGATGAGGCCGAGGAAGGTGTGCGAAGAGTCATGGCGGGATTCCCCCTGGCTGTGTTGCCAGAGGCATAGCGAACTAGAGGTTGCTGTGCTTTTGAGGCGACTCAAAAGTCATCTCAAAAAGGTATGGGGGGACTGTCCCCGGCTGCGCTGCCAGAGGCATAGCGAACTACAGCTTGCTGTGCTACCAGATTCACAGCCCACTATTGTCGAGCCTGGAAGGGGTTGGGAAGATGAGAGATGAATCAGTAGGAGGAGAAGGGGGAACGGGAAGTGGGAGGGGAGTAGATGAGTTGAGGAGATGGGGTGAGGAGAAGAAGGCCTCGTCCATTATCGTGAAACCTGATCATCCCATCCTAAGACCCACCTCCACCATCCCACCCCACACCCTCCAACCACCCCATATCCTCCAACCATCCCACACCACTCCATCATGCGGCAGTCACCCACCTTCATCCGCCAGCGCCTGAATGCGTTGGAGCAGCGCGGGGCGGAGGGAGGCGATGGACTCGGGCTCCCCGTGGCACAGCACGCTGCCGCACTGCTCCACCAGCACCTCGGGCGGCCCCCGCACGTACACGCGCTCGCACACGTCGCCATCGCCACCACCGCCTCCTGCTGCTGCGGCGGCCGGAGCGGGCCTGAGGCCTGCTGTCTCGCCTGCCTCCATGCCTGCGCCGTTTTGTGCAGCGGCCCTGCGGCGGGGGGAAAAGGGAGGGGAAAACAGGTGGCAGATTGGACCCACGGGAACTAGAGGCGATGCTAGCGGGAGGGCGAGAGATTAAGAGTAGAGTCAACACCCTGCCTGCACACCGTTCGAGCAAGGATACCGCACAGAAGGGTGCACACGTCTCCAGTGGGCGGGTGTAACATGCAAGAGCTCCCCCTCCTTCCCCCCCCATTCCCCCCCTCCCCCCTCCAGCCTACCTTTTCCAGAGGGCCTGCAGCTTCTGCTGCACGGACTTGTCCCGTTCACGCAAGGATGCCGCACGGAAGGATGCAGACATCTGCAGCACGGGGATGCGGCACAATATCATCCCCACCCCCACCCTCCCCCCCCTCCAGCGTACCTTCTCCCCAGCGCCAGCAGCTTCTGCTGCACTGACTTGCCCCGTTTCGACGCCGCCGCCGCAACGCCTCCCCCCGCTACCGCCACGGGCACATTGGCATACGTCCGCGTGGCACACTTGAGCACCGCGTCATACGGCGTATCCGCCAGCCTATCCGCGGCCGCTTTCGCCTCGTAGCACCGCCTCAGCATGTCGTGCAAAGGCCGAAGCCCCCTGGTGGATGCTACAGCTGCTGCTGCTGCTGCTACATCCGCTTCTTCCTCTCCCTCCAGTCCTTCGTATGGGAGGCTTGTGAGCACCGACGGCCCGCCAACCGCAGCGAGAATCGCCCAATCGAGGGCGTCCACGTGTCCTCCTCTGGCTGCCACATCCGCAGTAGATACTCCTGTAGCGGTGGATGTTCGGACAGTTCTTGTTCCTGCTCCTGCTCCTGCTCCTGCTCCTGCTCCTCCCCCTGGGCCTTTGGGGGCGGTGGGTGCCGGCCCGCCTTGCAGCAGGGACTCGCTCTGCTCCTCGCTCTCCCCGATGTCTATCTGCAATGCTGCTCCTGCTCCTGCCTCCTTGGCCTCTTTCGCCACTCGAGCGAGAAACTCAGCTTCATTCGACGCAGAAACGGAGGAATCTCCGACCGCTGAAGAACCAGCTGATGACGCACCACTGGCAGATGTTCCTGCAACAACAGCTGCAGCAGCAGAAGCGCTCGAAGGCGACGACAACCCCGCACCCGCCGACGAAGACGCCGTTGTTCTCCGCCGGCTGCTGCTGAGCCCAGTGCTATCCCTCAGCAGGTCATCCCCCATATCCGACATGAACACCCACGCCTCAAACAGCCGTCCCAGCGCACCCATCGCCCCTTCCTCCGCCAAAGGCCCTGTCTTGGGCACCAACCTAGTCGCCTCTGCTATATCCTCCGCTCCCACTGGCTTATCCGCTACCAGCAGCTCGTGAAGAGAGAGCTTGTTCTCGGTGAGACACCCAGTTTTGTCCGTGAGAATGGTGTCGACAAAAGAGAGGTTCTCAATCGCTTTCATCTGCTGGAAAAAGATCTCGTTCGCCTCGAGCCGGTGGCTGCAGGCGCCGAGCGTCGAGTAGAGCATCGCGGGCAGGTCGTCGGGCAGCGTGGCGAAAAAGAGCACGAGCGAGACGAGAACCACGTCCTGCCATGGCTGCTGCTGGAACAGCCCCAGCGCCGCAGCCAGGAGACCAACCCCCACTGATGCGAACGCGACCTGCCGGGAGGCCGAGCGGAGCAGCAGCAGCAGAGGGGAGGACTCACCTCCCCCGCCGATCCACATCGCGTGCACGTGCGAGACCGAAGCGAGCTTCTTCCCGATTTCGGTCTGCATGCCGGTGCGGAAAACCACTCCTGAGCCGTACCCGCAGGTGACCATGGTGCCCGCGAGCGCAATGTTCTGGCAGCCGATTGGGGAGGCCTTGGCGGAAGGGTCGAGGACGAGAGACGCGTCCTTGGGGCACGGGGCCGCCTCCCACTCGCCGGAGACCCCCGACTCGTCAATCTCGAGCAGCGTGCAGTGCAGGAGACGCAGGTCTGCTGGGACCTCCTGAGAAGGGGAGAAGGAGGGTGGCAGGGTGGGGGTTGCGACGGGAGGGAAGGGGAGAGGGAGAGGGCAGGTGGGTGGGACAGAAGGTGGACTCCCACGCGGCGGAGGCCCCGACTCGACGATCTCGAGCAGCGTGCAGTGCAGCAGACGCAGGTCGGCTGGGACCTCCTGAGAAGGGGAGAGGATGAGGGAGTGTATTAGGAAAGAAACAAAGGGAGGCGGGAGGGCAGGACGGGAGGGCAGGACGGGAGGGAAGCGTCTTTGGGATGGATGGGAGACAAGGCGGCCCCACTCGCCGGAGACCCTGGGCTCTTCGATTGCCAGGAGAATGCAGTGGAGGAAACGCAGGCCTTAGCTCTTATATCCGTTGGCTGTCGCGGTCGAGCCTACGTTCTATTTCCATCCAGGGCAGGGTGAGGGGGGGTGTTGGGGAAGTTGGGGCCAGGCCGGGGGGACCCAAAAGTGAGGGTGCTGGAAAGGAGGAGGGGAAAGGGGGGAATGGCCATTGAGACAAAAGTCGCCTTTTTTACACAATATTCTGGACTCGTCAATGCTCAAGAACCAACCCATCATGCCGGATCGCAGCAGCACCACATCCCCCAGCAGCACCATCTGCTTCACCCAGCTCACTGCCACGGCCATGCTGTCCCTCACTCAGCACCAGCAGCACATCTCTTCTCCCCAACCCCAACTAGTATATCACCGTGTACAACAGCCGTACCCATGCCAAGCACACCACAGACCAGCACCGCATGGAAGCCTACACACCGCCACCGCTTCACCACCAACCCCCGATGCATGAGCCCAGCACCAACCCAGCACCCCTCAAATTCACCCCACTTCCCCAATCCCCCAACCCACCATGCCGGATCGCAGCAGCACCACGTCCCCCGGCACCAGCTCCACCCGGCTCACTGCCACGGCCGCACCGTCCCTCAGCACCAGAGCGTCGTGCGGCGCTGCCAGGCTGGCAGCGGCCAGGCGGAGCCGCCCGCGCCACTCGGCGTAGAGGTGCAGCAGGAGGAGCGCGAGGGTGCAGAGCGCGCCAAGCGTGGCCTCCTCTGGGGGCGTGAGACCCGCAAAGAGGACGAGAAGGGCCAGGAGAAGCAGCTGACAGGGGCGGGGAGGGTGGGGTGTGCAGGGATTGAGAGGGGGAGGGGCGGGGAAGGGGGGAAGGTGGGGGAGGGGTGGGGGTGGGGAGTGGGGGAGGGGGACGAGGGGGGGTTGTGGTCAGCGTGGTTGGGCAGTATAAGGAATGGACAATTGACGTGGCAAGGGAGAAGAAGCAGCTGAATAAGGAAGAGAGGGAGGGAGGGAGGAAAGATGGGCAGTGAAGAGAGAGAGGGAAAGTAGCGAGGGCATGGAGAAGGGGGTGGGGGAGGAAAGGGAAGAATCACGGGGGGAGGGGGCGAAAGCAGGAGCATGAGGGGCAGGAGAGCAGGCAGGAGCGCAGGCAGGCAGCGCAACGGACGGACGCACCCTTGCGGGGGAGTAGAGATGGGCGAGGAGGAAGAGCGGGAAGGAGGGCACGGGCATGGTCTCGTATTCGTTGCGCCCGTGCTTCAGCAGGCGCGCTCCCGCTACCTCGCGAGGCAAACCTGACGCCTCCACCACATGCAGTATGCTGCACGGGGGGTGTGGGGGGAGGGGGAGGAGGGGAGGGATCGTTTTGAGGCGCCTCAAAACGAGCCCGACGCCACCACCACATGCAGTAGGCTGCAAGGGGGGAGGGGGGAGGGGAGGGGGGGGGGGGAGAGGGGGTCGATGAGTGAAAGGGGGGAAGGAGGAGGAGGAGAAGGGCAAGGAAACAAGGCTGCATTGTTAGTACAGCTGCTAGTATCTAAAAATAGCCATGCTTCGCTTCGGACCCAATTAAACAATCTCACTGGCACACAGCAGCAGCACTGGCTGGCAGCCCACGGAGGGGGGTCCATGATGACTTTTGAGTTCACTCAGCAATCTCACCGGCACACAGCAGCAGCGCTGGCAGCCCATGGAGGGGGGCCCATGGTGACTTTTGAGTTCACTCAAGCATCTCACCGGCACACGGCAGCGGCGCTGGCAGCCCACGGAGGGGGTTCCATGGTGACTTTTGAGTTCACTCAAGCATCTCACCGGCACACGGCAGCGGCGCTGGCAGCCCACGGAGGGGGGTCCATGGTGACTTTTGAGTTCACTCAAGCATCTCACCGGCACACGGCAGCGGCGCTGGCAGCCCACGGAGGGGGTTTCATGGTGACTTTTGAGTTCACTCAAGCATCTCACCGGCACACGGCAGCGGCGCTGGCAGCCCACGGAGGGGGGTCCATGGTGACTTTTGAGTTCACTCAAGCATCTCACCGGCACATGGCAGCGGCGCTGGCAGCCCACGGAGGGGGGGTCCATGGTGACTTTTGAGTTCACTCAAGCATCTCACCGGCACACGGCAGCGGCGCTAGCAGCCCACGGAGGGGGGTCCATGGTGACTTTTGAGTTCACTCAAGCATCTCACCGGCACACGGCAGCGGCGCTGGCAGCCCACGGAGGGGGGGTCCATGGTGACTTTTAAGTTCACTCAAGCATCTCACCAGCACATGGCAGCGGCGCTGGCAGCCCACGGAGGGGGGGTCCATGGTGACTTTTGAGTTCACTCAAGCATCTCACCGGCACACGGCAGCGGCGCTGGCAGCCCACGGAGGGGGGTCCATGGTGACCTGCACGTCCTTGGTCCGCCGCTTCCACTTCAGCCGCGCCCTCATGTCGCCTGCCATGCCCACATGGGCAGGACGGGGGGGGGGGGGAAGAAGAGGAGGGGGGAGGAGATAAGATTGGCTTGTGAGATTGGTAGCAAAAAGACGGACGGATGGGTCGATGAAAAAGGACGGCGGTTGACGCGGCTGGTTAAGGCGACTGGCTCGGCAAGGCAGGTGGAATTGATAAAAACGGCAAGAGCAGAGTTCAGCGCCGTCCGTGCAGTGGGAATCTACACTGCAGCAGCGATTTACTAGGCAGGTGCGGCCAAGCCAGCGGCGTCAGCGTAAAGATTTTAAGACTTCTCAATGGCTCTACACTGCAGCAGCGACTTACTAGGCAGTTGCGACCAAGCCAGGGGCATCACGACGGCGCACAGCACGACGGACAGCGCGAAGAGCCCGTTGTACAGGTACGGCAGGCCGGGGACCTCCCAGTCCGTCGCCACGCCCAGGATCGCGAACAGCAGCGCCGTCGCCGCGAGCCCTAACCCCCCGATCGTCCCCCATACGTGCGGCGGGAGCACCTGCAGATCCGGCTCCTCCACGTGCCGCCGCGACCGCGACGCCATTGCCGATTAAGGGGGTATTGCGGCGCGGCGCTCGCAGCGCTCGTGGGGGTAGCGGCGCTCGCGGAGCGGGGTGGACGGGATTAGATGCGTGAGAGGTCTTGAAAGTGGCGGTTTTGGGACGACGAGTGGCGAACGTTTGGCGGAAATCAATGCGTTTAGGGTTCTCGCGGATTCGCGCTCGGTGATCGAGGTTTTGCGACTACCGATGCGTACGCGTATCGTGAGGATCTGAATCACGCAGGCGGAGAATTGGCAGACGCGAGGAAGAATTTCATGTCGATCAGTAAAAAGAAATAGCACCCACAGCATGCAGTTCAGTAATGGTTGAAACCGAATATGCCGTCCCCCGCAGGCCCTTGCCTTCCCAATCACGAATGTGGAAGCTACGAGATGGATGATGAGATGAGACAGGAGAGGAGACAAAATGCCATCTCCAGAAATGGGTTCTGTTCTGTCCTGCTGGTGGATATGTGGTGTGGTCTGGTACAGTGCGAGGCGGTCCCTATGGAAACACCGAATCATTGCAATACAGCAACAATTCCCAAGAGAACACCGCGATTACAGTGTGAGAGAGTGGATGAAGTACAGTGTAAAGCGCGAGATCCAAACTTACATCCCTTCCTCAAAACAATAATATCAACATAGCTTTCTTACTAGTACAAGCACAACATTCTGCTAGAATTCCTGCCATAAACGCTTTCAAGCTTCTTTTCCTGCTTCAATATCCCCTTGAAGCCTTGCCACCGCCTCCTCCACCTCTTCTAACGAGGGAAGCAACCGCAAGAACGGCAAAGCAAGCAGTGAGGAGAGATTGCACAACAGAACAAGCAAAGCAAGGTTGTGGAAATTCGTGCTGGTAACTCCAAGCATCTCGGTGAGAAGAGCACCGATCAACCCGCTCACGACATATGCCCCGTTGTTAACCGACATCAAGGTGGCAAAAAGGGTGGCCTCAATTCCAGGAGGGCAGAGACGAGCCGCTAGCACAAGTACAGGCATGAATGAAATCTGGTGGGAGGGTGGAAGGGGGGGGGGGGCAGGGGGGGGAAAGGGAGAGGGAGGGGAAGATGGACGGCGGAGTGTTATTGGACAGGCCCACACAAACACACGTACCAGCACCACCACCCAAGTCCACCTTGCGATGCCCCTTGCAACACCTCCTGCCCCTCCCTCCCCCCACCAGCCAGTTTCACCATGCGCCCGACCTCCACACACACTTGGCCAAGAACGGTGAGAATGAGGCTGTCTTTTGAGTCGACGCAAAAGCCACCTCGCTGAAATTTCACCGTGCACTGCCCGTCACCTCCTCCACACGCACCTGGCCCAGGGCGGTGAGAGTGAGGCTGTCACCCAGGGCGAAGTAGTGGTTTGAGATGTCTCAAAACACGACAATAATACCACGGATCCTCCCCACGCACCTGACCCAGGTCGGTGAGAAATGAGGCTGTCATTTGAGCCAGCTCAGAAGTCAACTTGTTACAACTTCCCCATGTCCCCGACCTCAACATGCACCTGGCCCAGGACAGTGAGAATGAGGGTGTCCCCCAGGGCGAAGTAATGTTTTGAGACGTCTCAGGCCACCACTATTATACCACGGATCCGCCACACGCACCTTGCCCAGGACGGTGAGATCATGTGGCCGTCTATTGAGTCGACTCTAAGGTAACCTCGTTACAATGGCACCATGCACCTGCCCCTGTCCTCCCCACGCACCTGGCCCAGGACGGTGAGGATGAGGCTGTCCCCCAGGGCGAAGTAGTGGTCGCTGATACCCAGCGTGCGGTTCACACCCGTCACCAGCAACAACTGTGAGGGGGAGAGTAGCGGTGGCGGGGAGGAGAACAGTGCAGAGAGGAGGAGCGGGCAGCAGTGAGCTCCTCCATGTGTAGAATTACAAAGAATACCTTCTTCCCTCACCCCTGCTCCCACCCCTCCTCCAGACACCTCACCCTGCCCGCCCTCACTCTCCCGCATCCCCACTCCACCCTGCCGTCCCAGCACCACATGCACCCGTGTGCACCCGAGAGCAGAAAGCAGCGCTCACCTGCGTGCACCCGAGAGCAGTTTCTAGCAGGTTGCTCCAGAGGAAGATGCGCTGCAGCGGCACCTGCTTGAGCACAAGTTGTACACGCCCCCGATAGAGCCACCTCAAAGCAGCTCTCCACGTGGGTGCACCCGAGAGCAGTGGGTCACAACGTGCTCACCTGCGTGCACCCGAGAGCAGTTCCTAGCAGGTTGCTCCAGAGGAAGATGCGCTGCAGCGGCACCTGCTTCAGATACAAGTTGTACACGCCCACGCCCACCAGCGACGCCACTGCCGTCACCAGCCGCACCCGCCCCAGGAACTCCGGTCCAAAGCCCAGCTGGTTCGTGCTGCATGGGGCCGGGTGGATTAGGAGGCGGGGCAGCAACGCAGGGAACAGGGAGGAGCGGGGGGGTCTTAGGCATGTGACGATAGTACCGACGTCAACAGCTGCACCCGCCCCAGGGAACTCCGGGTGTTTGGAATCTCATGCCATGGACGTCACCAGCTGCACCCGCCCCAGAAACCCCACTCCAAAGCCCAGCTTGTTCGTGGGTTACGAGATGAGCGGGGTAGGCAGGGGGAGAAGTAGAGTGGACAGGGTAGGTCAGGCGAGGGGAGCGGTAGGAGCTGGGGAGACGGGAGGAACGGAGGGTGGGTGGTGGGATGGGAATGTGTGTGTGAGGCGGTAATAGCAGGGGAGGAGGGGAAGGTATGGGGAAGGTATGGGGAAGGTATGGGGAAGGTATGGGGAAGGTATGGGGAAGGGGAATGGGTGTGTAGAGCGGTGATTTTGCAGGGTGTTTTTGAGAATTCTCAAAAACAGCACGCAAGGAAACGGCAACCAGTGCTTCACGGAAGGTCAATATGCTTTATGGGGACGTGATTATGGTTTATAAATCCCCATAGCAGGTGAGTAAGGAGCTTGTTAGACACCCATCCGAAAACGCACAAGCCCAAACAGGTGATAGAGGTGTCTACCCATCTACCTCCATCCCAAACAGGTGATAGAGGCAACACAGGTGACGCATGCAACACAGGCAACACAGGGGCACATGGGCACAAACGAGCAAACTCACGTGAAGAAGAACATGGCGGTATCTGAGGAGGGAGTTATCTGCCAGAGGAAGATGAAGAGCGTGGGCATGAGGATGCTGGGCTGGCGGATGGTGGCCCACAGGTACAGCACCTGTGCCCGCACATCCATGGCCGGGATAGGGGAAGAGGAAGATGTGTGGGACGCTGGGAGAGAGGAGGAGGAGGTGGAGGAGGAGGAGGAGGAAGCTGAGGAGGAAGAGGGGTTGTGAGTGTTGGTGTTAGAGGAAAGGGGGTGAGCAGACAGTGAATGGTGGTTTGGGTGATGCTGCTGCTGCTGCTGGGGGCTGGGATTGGTGGGTGGAGAGGAGGGGAAGGTAGCAGAGTCAGGGTGATAAGGAGAGGAGGAAGATAAGGAAGGTGAAGATATGGATGACTCGCTGATAACAGGCGTGGCATTGGCGGGTTGCTGCTGCCGCTGCTGCTGCCAGTGCTGCTGCTGCTCGTGATGGTATGGTTGTTGAGCGTAGTGTGTTGACGGCAACGTGGCATCTGAATCTGACAGAGCTGAGGCATACGGACGCAGCAGTGGCATCTGCTGCTCATTCTCCCCAACCCCCACCCCCCCCACCACACTCCCACCCATATCCCTCACTCCAGACCCATCTACTACAACCCCTCTTCCATCTCCTCCTGCACCCACTTCTCGATCCGCCCTCCCTTCCAAAATCCCTCCCATTCCAACTCTCCCCCTTCCCACTCTCTCACTCTGACTCATATGACCAAGCTCTATAGAAAAAGCCCCCTGGGAGGAGGAGGGAGGGGGGTGCGGAGAGGAAGAGGAGGAGAGAGCAGGGGAGGCAGAGAGGCCATGGGCGGAGAGGGGAATGAGAGGAGCCGTCTCTGGAGGGGAGGAGATGGGGGAGAGGTGGGAGGAACGCACGGAAGAGGAGGAGGAGTGAGGGGGGGAAGCTAGGGAGGAGAGCTGATGGCTTTGGTCATGGGAGCGAGAGTGTGGGTGATTGTCCTCTATGGTGAAAATGCCGGCGATAGATATGATGAGGGGGAGGATGGCGGTCACGGCAAACACAAACCTGCCACGGGTGAGGATGGGGAGGGGGATGCGGGAGGTAAGGGGGATAGACAGAGGGTTGAGGAGGAGGGGGAGGAAGAGGATGACGATACTGAAGGGGGCGAGGTGGGGAGGGGAAGTGAGGGGGTCGAGCTGTTGGCTCTGGTGGTGGTGGTGGTGGGGGTGGTGGTGGTGGGAGGGCAGACGAGAAGGCGCAAGGGCAGAAGGTATCAGTGGCGCAACGACAGTAGGGGCAGGGGCAGGCACGAGGCTACTCTCCTCACCTGCTAGGCTGCTAGGCACCCATCATCTCCTCACCGAGCGATTGTTTAGGCGCCTGAAAAAGTATACTCCCCTCACCTGCCTTCCGTCACCACCATGCGTGAGGAGCCTATTTTTGAGGCGCCTCACAAATAGACTCCTCACAAAAAGTATACTCCCCTCGCCTGCCACCCGTCACCACCTCCTCACCTTGTGCTGCACACCTTGATGATCGATCATGGCCACCGCCGCCGAGAAAAAGGGGGAAGTAACATAATAATAGAAAAAAACAAAGAACACTCGCACGCTGTGTATCCCCTCACCTCGAACCATACAGCCCGACCAGACTCCTGCTCCAGTACGCGCTCACAATGCCCCCGACAGCAATCCCCTCAACTACCACCTTTCATCCCCTCCCCCCCCCCCACCACCACCACCACCACCACCACCACCTCCACTCCCCTCACCTCGTGCCGTACATCTCTACCAGACTCCCGCTCCAGTACGCGCTCACGATCCCCCCCACGGAGTTGGCCCCCCAGCACAGCGACTGCAGCGACCCCGCCATCTCCTGCCCCTCGCCGCGCGCGCGCTCCACCACCATGGAGTCCACCACCACGTCCGACATGGCGACCGAGAGCGAGGAGAGCAGGATCATGGCCACTGTGGAGTACTTGTCACGGACGAGAGAGGCCAGGAGCGCCCACGCGGACGCGCCCAGGAAGCCGCAGAGAATGAGGTAGGAGCGGCGGCGCGAGCCGAATAGGGGGAAGCCGTCGCTGGGGTTGGTGGGAGAGGGGGGGTGCGGGGGAAGGGAAGGGAGGGGATGTGTGGGAAAGAGAACTGCTTGAGGGGGAGGGGTGTTTGGGAGAGAAGGATGGAGGGAGAAGGATGGGGATTTGGTTTCTAGGCGCCTCAAGCGAGGGTGGTTTGGGACGGGGAAGGGGGGGGGGGGGAAGAATAAAAGTAAGGAGGATCGGGAGGGGATGTATGGGGAGGATAACTGTTTGAGAAGGAGAGTTGGAAAGGAAAGGTGGCACAGGAAGGGGGGGGGACGAGTGGGGAAGAAATAAATGGCCAGAGGGGGAAAGGAAGTTGTGTTAGGTGGTGGTGGTGGTGGAGTGCAATGAGTTGACATGAGTGGTAACAATGATATGATATGATGTGTTCTGATATGAATTTCACATGATATAAGATGATCTGTTCTAAAATAGATATGACATGATATGATATTATATGATGCCATTAAAGAGATCCGCGAATCGTTGTGTCCTGGCACGGTGGTATGAAGACTCGATCATGTGGCGTGGAACCGTAGCATAGTGGTAATGTGAACTCTGGGGTGAGGCGAGCTGCATATGGTATGGTATATGGTATGGTGCGGTGTGGTGTGGTGTGGTGTGGTGTTGTGTAGTGTCGTGTGGTGTGGTTTAGTGTGGTGTGGTATGGTATGGTACGGTACGGTACGGTACGATACGGTATGGTACGGTATGGTATGGTATGGTATGGTATGGTATGGTATGGTACGGTAGGGTAGGGCATGGTACGGTAGGGTAGGGCATGGTATGGTATGGTATGGTATGGTATGGTATGGTATGGTATGGTATGGTATGGAATGGTATGGAATGGTATGGTATGGTACGGTATGGTATGGTACGGTATGGTATGGTATGGTAGGGTAGGGCATGGTATGGTATGGTATGGTATGGTATGGTATGGTATGGAATGGTATGGTATGAAATGGTATTGAATGGTATGGAATGCTATGGTATGGAATGGTATGGAATGGCATGGTATGGTATGGAATGGCATGGTATGGTATGGTATGGTATGGTATGGTATGGTATGGTATGGTATGGAATGGTATGGTATGAAATGGTATGGTATGGTATGGTATGGTATGGTATGGTATGGAATGGTATGGTATGGAATGGTATGGTATGGTATGGAATGGTATTGAATGGTATGGAATGGTATGGTATGGAATGGTATGGAATGGTATGGTATGGAATGGTATGCAATGGTATGGAATGGTATGGAATGGTATGGAATGGTATGGTATGGTATGGTATGGTATGGTATGGTATGGTATGGAATGGGATGGAATGGTATGGTATGGAATGGTATGGTATGGAATGGTATGCAATGGTATGGAATGGTATGGAATGGTATGGAATGGTATGGTATGGTATGGAATGGTATGGAATGGTATGGTATGGTATGGAATGGTATGGAATGGTATGGTATGGCTGCGGTGGCATGGCACACCTGAGGAAGCCGTAGAGGGGCTTGATAAGCCATGGCAGTGTGGAGAGCCCAGACAGCAGCGCCGTCTGCAGGGAGGGAGTCGGAGAGGGAAAGAGGGAGAACAACAAAGCGGCAACAGGAAAGAGAAGAGAGAAGATGAACCCTCGAAATCTGTACAATGTATGGAGGTAAAAAACAGGTGGAGCGGAAAACTGAGAGAGGAAGAGCAGGGGGGAAGGAGTGGGAGAAAGAACACCACAACCCCCCCACATCACCGGGAGCACCCCACCCCACACCACCCCACCGCAGCACACCACACAACACCCCACCCCACCCCACCGCAGCGCACCTCAGCGGGGTCGAGGCCGAACTCGTCTTTGAGGAAGAAGCTGACGGCGAGGCGGGCGAGCCCCAGCACTCCCTGCACGAAGTACACGAGCGCTATGGCTATGATGTCCGCCGTCACTGGCAGACCCAGCCCCGGCACCATCCACTGCCGCTTCCCCCTCCCACCCCTCCCCTCTCCTCCTACCCCTCCTCCTCCACTGAAACCGCTGCTGCCGCTACTGCTGCTGCTCCTGCTGCTGCTGCTGCTTGCCGCACTGCCCCCACGGCTTTGGCTCCTGCTGCTGCTGCTGCTACCGCTGCCATCCAGCCCACTCCCTGCCTGCGACCCCCACCACCCCCACCGCCTCATCCCCCCCCTCCACGCTTGCCTCAGCCGCCGCAGCAACCTCCCCCCATCCACTCCCCCCAGTGCCCCGTTCCCTCTAGCGCGTATCACCCGCCCCCTGGCTCTCCCCCCTGCCAGCCCGCCTGCGCCTATCCCCCCCATGCGCGCGCCTGGGCGCCAGTCCAAGCCAAAGGCGGAGCCCACATCCGCCACGCTCTGCTGGTACCACCGCACGGCGTCAGCAGGGAGGGCCCACGCGCGGCGCACCCATGACCATGCGTGTGCGTGCGAACGGGTGGTGTTGCTGGTGTCAGCAGCATGTGCATGGGCAGTGATGGTGGCATGCGAATGTGTGTTATCAAGTACATGGGTGCTGTTGCTGCTGGTGCTGGTGGTACTGGAGGCATGGGTCAAAGGCTCAATTTCCCACGATGAGTGGATGGAAATACTAGCGGCAGCAGCAGAGGGGTCAGTAACATCACTCACGGATGTCTCGGGCATCCATACCCTACAGGAGGAGCCATGGCTGGCGGCTGGTGAGGCAGATACAGCAGCAGATGCCAACAACGATGACTGCTGGAATGATGACGTGGCGCTGACGTATCCAGAGGGGTCTACATGGGCAGAAACGGGCGATGACGTGGACCGATGCAGTGGCTGGATGGAGGAGGGGAGGGACGCGAGCGCAGCGGCTGAGTGCGTGTGTGTGTGAGTGAGTGAGAGTGGGGGGTGGGTGAGAGGGGGAAGAGAGGGTGATAAATGGAGAGTAAGGATGATTAACAGGCTCCGGTCCAGAGTCCGCTTTAGAGTCGAACTCGACGGAAGTCTAGAGCAGGAGGATCGATTTTCAACGAGATGAACGTCGCGAGCCCGTCGAAACAGGCCGCGTCGCGAACCCTAAACGCGAATTCGCGACTGTGTGCAATGCAAAAACACAGCACGACGTCGCTAGCTACCTCGTCGCCCGCGAACCTCCGTCGACTGCTTACCTTCTCCGTTCTCTCGCGCCTCCGCGGTCATTCCAGCGCGCGGAGCGATCGCAGCCTCCCAGCTGGAATGCACGGCGGCGTCCCCGCCGTCCTCCAGCTCCCGGTGAATCAGCGCCTCGCGCTGCGCGTGGCGACCTCCGCGCTTTCCCAGGCCGGCAATGTTTACTAGCCGCGGACAGCCGTCACTTCCGCCGCTTCTGGCGCTGCTACTACTGCTGCTGCTGACCGTCCCCAAGCTGGCGCTCATTGCGGCTGGCGAGCCAGCGAGGCGGCGTGTCGCGAGAGGCCGCGATTGCGGGCCTTGGGTATGGAAGCGTGGTGAATCAGGATCTTGTCGCCTGCGACTGCGAGCATCGAAATCCTTTATTAATCCGCGGAGGCGATTTGGTATAACGTGCGGCCTGATTCGCAGGCGTGATTCATCGTCCCGGCAGAAATCCTGAATCCTGAAATATTCTCGCTGCAAGCTTGAAAATGTTGGCAGCACCCACTGGTAGTCGATGCTCCATGATATTGAGTACCCTGTTACCGAGAAAAGTTCATTATTCTAGTTCTTTCGCATGATCCTACAACAAAAAAGTCGCGACTTCGTTATATAATAGAACATTCCAACCAAACCTCGTTCCAGATAATGTAATGAGGCCACGTGTGACAAATTTGCCTTGCCTAGATGGCGTGCAACTGTGCAGAGTAGGCTCAACCCCTCCAGCGTGGCTCGCCGTGAAATCTGACGTCATACCCTGACGCACCGAATGCGGTGACAGCAATCTCGGAGCAGAATCAGCCCCGCGAATAAGGATCATCCCACTCTTCCCGTCGTGACATGTGAGCTTTCCACATTGGCGAGCGCACAAACCGAGCGCAGCCCATTCCCCCCACCGGAACAGTCTCAAGGCAAGAGGAGGATTCCTCCTCTTCACGCAAGCCCCTGCCTGCCCAACCCTCCTTCCCCCTCCTCTTCCCCTCTTCCCCAATCTGCCCAGTCACTTTTCCCTGCCCCACCTGCCGCTCCCCCGCACTCCCCCTCCCACCACCCCTCCCCCCCCACCCTATCCCCACCAATCCCTAAGCCTCGCGCGCGGAGCATGCCGTGCACAGTTCCAGATTCCGCCTTCCATCTCCCCAGACCCCCCTGCTGTCCCTGTCTTAAAATTCGCTCCACTCCCTTGCATAACAAATTTCCCTGATCCGCCCCTCCTTCAGCCAGGCGAATTTCCCCAATTCGCCATTTCCGGAGTCCCTTTCTTCCTCTCTGCTTGCGTTCCCCTTGACCTCCGTTATTCGAACGGCCTTTCGCATTCGAATATGGCCTCAGCTGTCTCGACCTCGCAGGTCCTGCCCGTCGGCAAGCTCGCCGCGGCTGACGTGAGCAGCGCGAACCAGGCGTTCAAGGGCGTGAAGCTGTGCCCGGCGCAGAAGATGGGCAGCAAGAAGGACGCCGGCCGCTTCGAGTGCAAGGCCGTTGCGACGGAGAAGCCGTTCGTCACCACCAAGTCCGAGGAGATCTTCAAGGCTGCCAAGGTCCGCTGACTTCAATTTCTTCGCCTTACCCAGTGTTTTTTTTCTTTGCCAGACATACCTCGTCGACCTTGTGTCGCCAGACCAGACCCATCACCCACAATTCGCCAAATCGATCCCTTTTCCCCTCGTTTTTCTTCTCAAGCTCTGCGACGGGTATAAAATGGGCTGCAATCTCCCTCCTTTTTTATTGCATCAACTGGTCATGGCGGTGTATTTTGTCAACAGGAGCTGCTCCCCGGCGGTGTGAACTCGCCCGTGCGTGCGTTCAAATCGGTGGGCGGACAGCCCATCGTCTTCGACCGCGTGAAGGGGTCGCACGCGTGGGACGTGGACGGCAACGAGTACGTCGACTACGTCGGCACATGGGGCCCCGCTATCATCGGCCACGCGGACGACGAGGTAGGGCCAGGCCTGTTGGGAGTTGTCGGGCTGGATGCGATTGTTTCAGATTATTGTAAACCCTTTCTTGACCGTGCTTCTTCAACTGGTCCCTGTTTTGTTGCAACGGCGTTCTTTCCTCCTCCCACTCCCGTAATTTCTTTAAAGCTTCTGGTTTGTCGCGTGGGAGCATGCTGCCCTCGTGGCTACCATTTCCCAATGCAGCAATCTCTTCTCTCGCACACGCATTGACTGACGCAACGCCCTCGCTTCTCACGCTCCCGCTCATCGTGACCGTCTGCCTTTCCCCGATTAGATGAACGCGGCGCTTGTCGAGGCCTTGACGAAGGGAACGAGCGTCGGCGCTCCCACAGATGGTAATTCTCCGCATTCTCACCCTTTCTCGCCTCTTTTTCTTTTTTTCTTTCTTTCTTTCTTTTGTAATCACAGGTGAACGCGGCGCTCGTGGAGGCGCTGAAGAAGGGCACGAGCTTCGGCGCGCCGTGCGTGCTGGAGAACGAGCTGGCGGAGATGGTGATCGCGGCGGTGCCCAGCATCGAGATGGTGCGCTTCGTCAACTCGGGCACGGAGGCGTGCATGGGCATGCTGCGTCTCGTGCGCGCCTTCACCGGCCGCGACAAGATCATCAAGTTCGACGGCTGCTACCACGGCCACGCCGACAGCTTCCTCGTCCAGGTACCGTACCGAGCTGTACCGAACCGTTCCGAACCGTACCATTCGATGGTTGCTGCTCTTTCTTGGCCTGTTGCTCTCGGCAGCGTCGGGTGGCTAGTGTCATGAGATAACCGAGGAAATGGGTCTCTGTAGTCTTGGTTTCTTCCAACGGCTTTAGGTGTACATCTCCAACCGATTCTTATTACATCATCCTCGGCTGTCTATCTTTGGACTTCCATAGAAGTTTCTCGTATCTATCATATACGAGTCCTACACCCGTCGGCTGCTGCCAGGCCGGCAGCGGTGTCGCCACCCTGGGCCTGCCCGACTCTCCCGGTGTCCCCAAGAGCGCCACGGCGCCCACCCTCGTGGCGCCCTACAACGACCTTGAGGCCGTGAAGAAGGTACGGTGGGCAGCTGCGTGCTTGTGGGCGTATGGTGGTAATAGTAAGGGTACTAGGAGATACCCAGGGGAATCGCTGGTGGTACCGCAACCATGCGTGTTTGCTGCGCTTCAATGGTTGTCGTGCCGTGTGCGTGGCATGTAGCTAACCACGGTTGGCATAGCCTTGGCCTGGTGTGGCTCCATATCCCTGTCCCGAATAGGGGGGGTTTCTCGAGTGTCGAGGTTCGAGGTTTCGCCTTTGTTCTGAACCTTCGGCCTGTCCTTGCATTTTCTGAACCGGCTGTGCGCGCAGCTGTTCGCGGACAACAAGGGCGAGATCGCCGCTGTGGTGCTCGAGCCCGTGGTCGGCAACTCCGGCTTCATCGTCCCCAAGAAGTGAGCTACCGCTTCGCACTGTCCCTGCCTCCCTTCCATCCCTCCATCCCTCCCTCCCTCAATCCCTTCCTCTCTCCCCTCCTCCCTCCCTCCCTCCTAAAATGTTAGAATGTGCGCTTTCACGAGTGACTCCTCAGTCCGGCTCAAAACTCACCAACAGCTATTGTCACACGGTGTCGTAATTGTCTCCCTCTTTGGCTGCAGGGAGCTCCTGGAGAGGCTGCGGCAGATCATCAAGGACGAGGGCGCGCGAGCGATTTCCCAGTCGATTCAGAAATCACCCAATAACCATCTACGGCTTTTGTCACTCACACGGTGTTGTTGTTTCTTTCTTCCTTTCGTCCTTTCTTTCTTTCTCTCTGTGCGTGCAGGGAGTTCCTGGAGGGGCTGAGGCAGATCACCAAGGACGAGGGCGCGCTGCTGGTGTTCGACGAGGTCATGACGGGCTTCCGCATCGCGTACGGCGGCGCGCAGGAGCACTGGGGCATCACCCCTGACATCACCACGCTCGGCAAGATCATCGGGTGCGCGCGCGCACCTCGCTGCCCTCGCTGCCCTCGCTTATCCTGGAGTCACGAGTTCGTTTCAGGAATCTGTACCACCCCTGCGTACAGAAGGAAATGCCTCTGAGGCTGACGTGATGTACCTGACAACCTCGTTGCACATTCCCCCAAACCCACCGTCCCTTGGCGGCCCTTCTCCCTCTCCCGAATCTCACTCCCTACCTTCCCCACTTTTCCCTCCATCGTGTTAACCTTTCTCTTTCCTATTACCCCTGCTCCCTCTACTCCCCTTCCGTCCCGCCCCCTCACCCTTCCCCTCACCGTCTTCCTTGTCTCGCGGCCGCTGCAGTGGTAGTCCCCCGGTGGGTGCGTACGCTCAGTGGCAACCTGCCTCACTCCGTCCCTCCTGCACCCATCTTCCTGTCTTCCTAACCTCCCTTTTTCCAATCCCCTACTCGCTCATCTCCCATTCCCTCCCACAGTGGCGGTCTCCCCGTGGGCGCCTATGGGGGCAGGCGGGACATCATGGAGATGGTGGCGCCAGCGGGCCCCATGTACCAGGCGGGCACGCTCAGCGGCAACCCCCTTGCCATGACGGCGGGCATCAAGACCCTGGAGCGCCTGCAGAAGCCGGGCACATATGAGTACCTTGACAAGGTCACCGGCCGCCTCATCAACGGACTGCTCGACGCTGCCAGGTGCGCGTCCGGGGGGTGTGGTGGGTGGATCAATGGTGTGGGGGTGGAATGCGCTGGGGACCTGGAGACAGATACCTTTGACAATCTCACTGACCGCTTCATCATCAACGGACTGCTGCATGCTGCCAGGTGCGTGGCATGGAGGGCTAAGATCTGGGATTGGAATGTTTTGGGGGAGTGGTGATGAGAATTGGCGGATGTGTGAGGTGGTTGGAGACAGGGTGGAAGCGCTGCTTGGTAAGGTGTCTGGCGTGCCCTTGTTTTATCGAGTATTTGCTGGACCTCCTTTTACAACACTACTTATTCTCGCCTCAGCAGCACATCCATGTTTCTCTCCTCCCCTTGCGTTTGTGTGTACAGGGAGGCCGGCCATGAGGTGTGCGGAGGCCACATCAACGGTATGTTTGGCTTCTTCTTCACCAAGGGCCCCGTCTACAGCTTCGCTGATGCCAAGCAGTCGGACACGGCCAAGTTTGGCCGCTTCCACCGCGCCATGCTCAAGCGCGGCGTGTACCTGGCGCCCTCGCAGTACGAGGCGGGCTTCACTGGCCTCTGCCACACAGATGAGGACATTGACTTCACCATTGCCGCTGCCAAGGAGGCATTCCGGGAAATCTAGGATCTGTAACCGGGTTTGAAATATTCCAGATGAAACGGTTTTGGAAATTTGTGTAGGAGTTAATGCGACTTGTTTCAGAACCAGCTACCTCTTAAAACTGAGTCATTCATGAATATGTAGAGAACATGGGTACAAGCATTCATATCCAAGGGTTGTACTCTCTAAGAGGTGGCCCTATACTGTCTAAACAAACACTAGATATACTCATGTTTGACACACCCCCTAGACTGCATAGGGGCAGTTCCTGA